TAACACTACTACCACTACTACCACTAATAATAACCACGACTACCACTACTTACCACTACTACCACTAAACCACTACTCACAGTACTACCACTACTCCCAATTACTACCACTTACTACCACTACTACCACTATACCACTACTACCCCTATACCACTATCCCACACTACAAAAACTACTACCACTTTGATACCCCTATTAACCTACTACCACTACTACCACTTACTACCACTACTACCACTACTACAATTACTAACACTTATACCACTACTACCACTCCCACCACTACACCACCACTACCACCCCCACTACTAAGACTCCTACTACTGCATATACTACTTACTACTACACTACTATACTAAATACTAATACTACTACTAAACTACTAACTAATAACTACTAACTACTTAACTACTAACTACTAACTGCTAACTACTAACTACTAACTACTAACTCCTAACTCTAAATACTAACTACTAACTATCACTACTAAAACTAATAAACTACTAACTACTAACTACTAACTACTAACTTCCAACTACTAACTATATGCTACTACCCACTACTAACCACTGTTACTACCACTATTTTACCCCCACTGCTACCATGTCCACTGCTTACCCTACTTACGACGACGACTATTCCTCCTCCGCGACCACGAGGGGAGCGAGAACGACGGCCGACGGTGATGACGACGGGATGACGACAGGGAATGCCGGTTGTGACGACGGGACGAGGACGCCGACGAGAAACGACCACGACCACGACACGAACCACGACCACGAACACGACCACGACACGACCACGACACGACACGAACCACGACCCGACCCACGGACAACGAACCACGACCCACGACCGACACGACCCACGACCACGAACACGCCACGACCACGACACGACCACGACCCCGGACAACGACCACTACGAACAATCATTGTGACAACGACGAATACTACTAGCTACGACGGCTATTGCTACGGTAGGCTACTGCTTACTGCTACTGCTACATGGTCTGGATATTGCTTTACTGCTATTCCGGCCACATTGGAAGCACGGACACACAAACACACACACCAACACAACCACATCACACACCCAACACACACACACAACACACCACCCACCCACACGCAGCACGCAGCACGCACGCACGGCACGCACGCACCGCACGCACGCACGCACGCACGCACGCGGCACGCAGGCCCGCAGGCACGCAGGCACCGCAGGCCACGCAGGCAGCAGGCACGCCGCACGCACGCACGCAGAAAGCACGGCACGCACGCACGCACGCACGGCACGCACGCACGCACCACGCACGCACGCACGCACGCACGCACGCACGCACGCACGCACGCACGCACGCACGCACGCACGCACGACGCACGCACGCAGCACGCACGCACGCACGCCGCACAGCACGCAGCAGCACGCACGCACGCACGCCGCACGCAACGCACGCACGCACGCACGCACGCACGCACCGCACGCACGGCACGCACGCACGCACGCACGCACGCCGCACGCACGCAGCACGCACGCCGCCGCAGCACGCACGCGCTGGGCGCCTGCGCGGAGCGCGCGCTGGCCCGCGCACACACCACACACCCAACCTGACAACCACACCCCACCCACCAACAAGCGCGAGCGCACACGCACACGCACACGACACGGCGCACCCGCACGCGCACCCGCAAGCGCCACCGCACGCGCACCAGCACCAGCACGCGCACGCGCACGGCAAACGCGATATGCGCACGCGCACGCGCTCACGCTCACGCACACGCGCGCACACGCACTCGCACACGCACACACGCACACACGCACACACGCACACACGCACACACGACACACACACACGACACACACGACACACACGACACACACGACACACACGACACACACGACACGCGCGACACACACGACACCCACGACACGCGCGACACACGCGACACGCGCGACACACGCGACACGCACACACACACACACACTCAGAAAATCACCTTCTCCTGAAGGGATAAGGCTTCGGATAAGGCTTCAGCAAACGCTGCATCCACATCTTTTGCACGCTGACGCTGACACGGACACGCACACCGACACGCACACTGACACCCACATTGACACGAACACTGACACGATCACTGACACGCACACTGACACGATCACTGACACGCACACTGACACGATCACTGACACGTACACTCACACGGACACGTGCACGGACAGGCACAGGGACACGCACGCTGGCATGCACACTGACATGCACACTGACACGCACACTGACACGAACACTGATACACAGCCACACATCCACACAACCACACAGCCACACAGCCCAAATCATCCAAGAAAGCCATCAGCGCTCTTCTTCCTGCTACGCTCACAAGGTGGGCCACACGCCGGAGCGTGGCTGGCGGCGAAGCAGCACTCACGCTGGCCCCACGTTTTGCGGTGTTGCCTGCGCCTGCCCCTGCCCCTGTGCCCGAATCGTTGCGGCCCGGACCCAGCTTATGGCCAAAGCGTGAACCAGTACGGGGTCCACGCCCCTTCCTGCCCACGCACGGGGGAGTGCTGGCAGACGACCGCCGACGGCTAGATCCCGTCGTGTGCGAGGCAACGCCGCGTGGCGCGCAGTGCTACGATGCCACGCTGGTTTCGCTCCTCACCGGGATGGGGCTCCCACAGCCGACAGCGACAGCCCTCAGCAATTCGTCGTTTTCGGGTCTGAGGTTCGAGGCCGCTGGAACCGACAAGCCGCCCGCTTCGTGAGGGACCTCCGCGTGCGTGCTCGGCGAGCCCCACCCGCCCTCCGGCATGCGGCAGCCACCTCTTGGTCGCGCTGTTGGTGCTTGCTTGGGGTGGCTGCGCAGCAAGCCGTCTCCGCTCCAGCCCAGCCAGCCGTGAGCGTGCTCGACTTGGCGGCACCGTCAGATCGGGTGAGAAAGGGAGGGTAGTAGTGTAGCCCGCGACCGGACAGCCACCTGCCAGGCGGAAAACAAACGTGCAAACAGAATACATACATACATACATAGACAATATGCACACGCACACACGCACACACGCGCACACACACACACACACACACACACACACACGTGTACGCACGTACGTACATACACACATACACATACACATACACATACACATACGCACATACGCACATACGCACATACGCACACACACACACATATACACATACACACATACACATACACATACACATACACGCGAAGAAAGCACTACCAAGTCAGAATTCCCCGGTGAAGGCTGTGGGCGGAGTCAGTTTTGCGAAAGAACACTAGGGCCAACTTGGCCCTGACAAACCAACTGCAATAGAAAAAACAAAAACTGCAATCCGGTATGCGTGTTGGATTCTCCGATGAACGCATGGGCCAATCAAATCTTTAATTTTAACATATTTTAACGTAACGCGCAAGCAAGCTGCGCGTGTTCAAGCAGGTTCCGTAAGCTAAGCCAAGCAGAGCCACATTGGCATATTTGCGCGGTGTGCTGGCCCAACGCGTTCTCTCTCACCAGATGAAACATCGTGATTTTTAGCTCTGCGAGGTTGGGCATCTGGGCATCTGGAGTCAAGCATTTCGCCCGAACATGCACAGTCTCAGCTTGTTCCATCTCAAGTAGGTGACCCATGAAGATCGGTTTAGCCCACGTCATGGTGATGTGGACGAGCCTGCTTCTGACACTCGTCGCAGCGCGCGAGACAGCTGAGGCAGCAGCTGTCATGTGGATCAGTTTCTTTCAGCAACCCATCCTGAGACTGTGGGTTTTTTGTGCAGGCTAAAAAAGCGTAATGGGATCCGCAGGAATAACGTCTATGGAGATGGCAGTGCAGTTTTGGGAATGGGTTGCGAGCTTGTGATGAACAACCAGCCATGACTTGAAAGCTCCATGTGATGTTTGCGACTTAACTACAATTACATGCAAAGACAGCTGGACATTGTGCTCATTCACCCGTTCGCAACGTATGTCAACGCATGAAACGCCCCTGAGTTTGCCAGGTTCCTTTCGGAAAGCCACTCCGAGAGAAATATTTTCAGTTTCAGCGGCCCGGCTGGGTGAGAGGTTTCGAGTAAGAGTGTGTTTCCGTTTTTTTTAAGAATATATGACGTAGCACGTTTGATGGAGTGTTTGTCCCAACGAAGCTTTATTGTGGTGGTTTGCCTCCATTTCCAACTTACGTAGTTGCAAACATATTGTTTTAATGCGCGGGTTTACAGATTTATGAGTAAACTATATATAGACATGGACATAGACATAGACATAGAAGGTGGTTTGCATGCATGGGGCTTAGACTAACACATGAAAGGTACACCCTGCAGGCATCAATCTTCCTAAACATTTCTCGTTCGCACGTGTGTGGGCAGAGGGCGTTGTGCCTGAGCTGTAACGAAAAAATGTTTTACGGAAACTATCGTATGTTTAGTGGAACCCTGGAGGGTTTCAGCAAAGGGCTTAGTTGTACCTTGCTTCAAAACTACGGAATTAATGATTTGCCAATAGAGCTGCCCAAAGTTAAACCAATTCCCTAACCATAAAAGACATTGCCTAAAGAACTCGCTTAATCAGTAAAGCTCAATCATGATTATTTGTGACGTGCCACCGTAAGGTAGAAATTCATCGCAAAAACAAAAACCAAGAGGCGCAGGAAATCTTGAAGCTTGAATGTTGGATCCCGGTTTGATGCAACATTGATTCCAACTGAATCAAATGAATGAAGCCCCCCCCGGATTCAAATCTGAGTCGAAGTGAATCACGTGGATCAAGTTTGCCCCTCCCCTTCGCCCCCCACCCCCCAGGACCCACCACGATCAATTTCTTCCGTACGGCGACTTTCGCTGATCAAATTGAGTTTGTTGTTGGGGGGGTATCATATGTACATTTATGTTTGGAGTATATCAGTATAAGGTTAACGTACATACAGATAAGGGAAAATGTAACACCTAGTGGCACGTTGAGAAATTGAACGCCAATGAGCTGGGAGCATGCACCTCCTACTTGTGAGGGAGGCACCAAGCCGCGCCTACTTCATTGAGGGCAATGCCAAAACTGGACAGAAAACATCGCACAACGCTACCCTTCAAGCAGCTCGCACGTCCTGTGTCCGACACCCAAGCTGTAAATAAATACCTCAATGAATGTATAAGTAGTTCCTCAATTCTAGTTGCATTAACTTCTTATTTTTTAGGAATTACTATTTTATAACAAATTTTGACAGGAATCTTCTGTGTATGTTTTTTGCTTCCCAAACCTTCCAACCTTCCCAAACAATTTGTCGCGCAGCCGCGACTGCGGCCAAAGTTTTCCTCACAACCAAAGTGTACTGCCCTAAACCCTAAACCCTAAACCCTAAACCCTAAACCTTAAACCCCTAAACCCTAAACCACTAACCCTAAACCTAAACCTACTGTCTCCTCAGGCCCGGCTTTCTCAACTTCAACCATGGAGGCTTTGGAGCCACGCCCACGCCCGTGCGTGAAGCCCAAAGCGGCTTCGTGGATCAGCAGGAAGCGCAGCCCACCGCGTGGTTTGCATCAGGAGGAGCTCCGTTGGCACATGTGACCTGTAAGACACCAAATTTTTGCAGGGCTTGACCCATCTCAGGTTGCAGAACTTGTTTTAATAAACTGAGCTACTGCGTGTGTAGCCTTTGTTAACATGGCTCTGTGTTGATGGGTGAATTTGCCCATCGGCCAAGGATACAAAAAAGTTCTTTCACAAGTAAGACCGCGTTTGGCAAGAATGATGAATGCAAATTCCTCAGATGTAGCCCCCTGGCTGCGAAGCATGACCTGCTAAACGCTGAAGTGGTGTACATACTACCTTAGTAGCTGAGTATGTAACCTTTTGACCTCTTGGGGTAGTATATACAATCCTACCATTATTGGAGGGTTAACCTTTTTTGGGCTTGGCTGGGTCCCCTAAACCCCTAAACCCTAAGTCACCACTTGCTAGTAGTATTCCTTTGTGGCCCCTTGACAATTCTACTAGAGCGGCCCCCAAAACCCTATTGCGCCTGCATTGCCATAGCACCTGACTAGCTGGGTAGATAACCCCTTTTTAATCTTTTGGGGAAAATGCAATCCTACCATAATTGAAAGGTTAATTTTTTTGGGCCGGGGTACTCAGGAACTAGGGTGCCGATCCGAGGTGTTTTTGGACGATGCTTCGTCTGGACTTAACGCGGTGTTGCGCAGCCTTCCCTGGCAGCCACAAGATGTGTTGCTCTTGACCAGCGCAGCTTATGCCGTCCTTCCCAACACTGGCAAGTGGCTTCAGAAGCGCTACGATATCCACATTATGCAAGCGCAAGTGCAGCATAGATGATTTGGAAATTGTTTGCCTGTTTGTCGCGCAGGCTGTGAGGCATGCAATGGTCATTCCAATAGCCCTTATGCTGTCGAGAGCCCTTCGTCCATGCGTTATTGTTTCGCGACTCAAGTTCCTTACTTACTATAGAGGCCAATGCTTGGAATAGGGTTTGGGGGTAATTATTATGCTATAAGTATATCAGGACCCTTAGGACGTAGGCATGCTATCAGTAATCCCCTCCCTCATTATACTAAATCCGCCGCCCCCCCCCCCCCCCCCCCCCCCCCGAAATTCGCCTCGGCCGGAAACATGTTTAAAATTAGGGGGGGCCTAAACCCTAGAACCTGAAATCCGAAGCCTAATTAAACCCCAAAGCGGACACAGGGAGGGAGTACGGGGTTTGGGGCTTGGGGCGTTTAGGGTTCATTTCGGGTTTAGCCTTTTGCCCTACGCCCTAGTTAAACCCTCGAAGCCCTGAGCCTTGAATCCTAATCCTGTCAGCCTTCAGCCCTAAAACCTGAAGCCCTAATGGCTCAACTCAAGGGCTCAACAGCACCCCTTTCCCCTAATTCTCAAACAGGTTTAGTGTTGTGCTGGTTGCCGGCAGGGTCCGGGAAAGATAATACTTTTAATTCGGGTGGGGTTTAGTATTAGGGGAAAGCGATGAATCATTCCGGCCCCTGTGTTTCCTGTACTCCTCGGCAAGCTGTTGTTTTCTGAGGCATTTTCCCGCAAGCAGCGCCGAAGACTTTGTGGGACCAGTGGAACGAGCTCTCTCCGAACTCCCGCTTCCTTGCAAGCTGCGCCTGGCTGTTTTCGACCACGCTCTCTGGGATGCACCCTGAGCCCTAAACCCTAAACCCTAGACCCTAGACCCTAAACCCCGAACCCTAAACCCCAAATCCTAAACCCTAAACCCTAAACCCTAAACCAAAACCCTAAACCCTAAACCCTGAACCGCCAACAGTTTGTGGCCTGTCATTTGCAGAGACTCGAAGGGCCACCGGCCCAGTGTGGGCGTCCTTAACTTGGCAGCCCTTTGGTTCCTTTGAAGTAATCAACCAATCAACCCCAAAAAGGATACCCTATTTTAATGTGGGCTACCAAGTTAGATATGGGCTTAACAACAAAGGGGCCCCTTTGGGAGGTTGCAATAGATGACTCAGACCTGGTGAATCCCTTGAGGCCCAGATGTAAGCATGTTTCCCCTAAACCCTGAACCCTACAATGCCCTAAGCAGCTCCCACAAGCGGCTATGACATGAGAGCTTTAAACCCTAAACCTCAACCCTAAACTCGGACCAGTGTGTGGTTCGTCGGCAACGTGTTTCTGGGAGTATGGGGGCCGCCCGGGAGGGTCTACTCGATGCCATGTTTAGCCACACGCTCGCGAATATTCGTCAGAGAGACGATTGAATGTGATGCGGCCCGACACTGGTCTCCCACAGCTCGTCCACCGCATCCGTGCCTACCCCTCACGGGCCGTGACTCTTCGCGACGCTCTGGGCTTGTGCATCGACGACGCCGGCTACGCCCCGGCCGCCGCGCAAGGCGCCTTGCTGGAAGCGTTCGGTGGAGCCAGGCTCGCGTGCGCGGCGCATGGCCTCGCCCGTTCCTTGCGAGAAGCATGGACATTCCCACCATTGCCCCCGCCCGCCGTTTCCAGCATCGGTCGCCGGGGTCGCGGCCGGGGTCGAGGGCGTGGGCGGAGAGCGGTGGCGCCCACCATTGAACCAGGGCGGACGAGGCTGCGGCTGCGGGGGCTCCCCGACCCGACGTGGCCGGTGCTAGCCCGAATGCCAGCCCGCACGTGCCGCCCCGCGAGGCATACCTTTCTGCCGACGCCCGCACGCAATGCTGGCGAGCGCTCGACTCAGTCGATTTGTCCGCAGAGCTGCGGCACCCGGTCGCCACGCTGCAGGACGTGCCAGTGTTCATGCGCGACGCCCTGTCAGCTGCGCTGACTTTGGCCCTGCGCGCCATCCAGTCCGCGAGCGACCGCGGGTTTGCTCGCAACAGCCCCGAAGCCTCGCGACCCTGGAAGTTGTTCATGCTCGTGCCACGCATGCTGCTGGCGCGGTGCAAGCACCAAGGTCGAGCGGGGCGCACGGAACTGCTGGAGCGGGCCGCAGCGTTCCAGCGTGGCGACTGGCTTCGACTCCTCGAGGAGGCGCGCCTTGGGAGTGCCGGACGCGGGGCCGCGCCAACCCGGCTGAGGCCGAGCGCAGACGCCTCGTGGCGTGTGCCCAAGTCCGTCGGGGCGAGGTGTCGCGTGCCCGCCACACCCTTACGGCCACCCCACTTGCGCCCGGCAACGACGCGACGTGGGACGCGTTGACCGATCCCGCTCGACGACCCCCAGCGCCGCGTGTTGCGACCCCGCCCGACGTCCTCTCCTTGCAGCCCGATTCCCTTCTGTTGCTGTCGCCGCACTCCATCTCGACGGCCTTGCGCGATGCCCGCCGTGGTGCTGCCCCCGGCCTTTCCGGCATGCGCGCGGAGCATCTCAAGGTCTTGCTGCAGTGTGAGGACTCTGTCGAGCTTTTGTCACACGCCGCTACGCGCTTGGCCCGCGCCGACGTGCCCCCGGCATATGCGGAGGCGGTCGCTTTGGCACGGTTGACGGCACTGAGCAAGCCTGCGGGGGGCGTGCGCGGGATTGCCACGGGCGATGTCTTCCGCCGCCTCGTGTCGCGTGCACTCGCGCACCTTTGGGCACCCGTATTCGACGCGGCCACGCGTCCTTTCCAGTATGCGCTCCAGGCCAGGGCCCGTTCCGACGCGCTGGCTGGCCAAGTGCGTGCAGCGCTGGAGCTCCACGCGGATTGCACGCTCGTATCCCTTGATGGCCGCAGCGCGTACGACACGATCTCGCGGCGGGCATCGTTCCTCACCGCGCTCCGCGACGTCGCGCCGGAGCTCTTGCCTTTCGTGCTGCTGTTTTACGGGCAGGCCTCCACGTACTGCTGGTGGGACTGCCATGGTCGCTGCCGCGAGGTCCGCCAAGGGGACGGCTGCGAGCAGGGGGACCCCCTCGCCCCAGCCCTGTTCTCCCTCGGCCAACACGGCGGTCGCCACACGAACGCCTGCTAGCCTTCCTCGACGACCTGTACGTCCTCACGCGCGACCCGGAGCGTGCCCGCCCAGCGCGCGATGTGGTCGTCGAGGCCGTCGAGGCTCACTGCGGCATAGCCTCCAACGAGGGCAAAACGCGGGTGTTTCGCTTCGCGAGCGGGCCCGCGCCCGGAGGCGTGGCGGACCTGGGGGAGGAGGTTTGGCGAGGGGACCAACCCCCCGCCGCACGCGGCGTCGTCGTCCTGGGCACGCCCATCGGCCATCTGGATTTCTCACGGGCCTGGTCGGAGGGACGCATGCGCGAAGAGCAGCTCTTGCTCGATCAACTCCCAGAGCTCCCGGACCTCCAGTGCGCCTGGCTTCTGCTCGCCCAATGCGCCTCGCCGCGCGCCAACCACGCGCTCAGGACCGTGCCTCCCAACCACGTCGCCGCCTACGCAGTCGCGCATGACGCGGCGTTGTGGGACACGCTGATGCGCTGCTTGGGGGGCGCGCCCGAGGACCTCGAGCGCGATGCACGAGCGTTGGCATTCCTTCCCGCCGCGCTTGGCGGGCTCGGCTTGCAGGCCACGACCCGTGGAGCGCTGCCCGCGTACTGGGCCGGGTGGGCCGATGCCCTGCCCGTCATCCAGGCCCGCTGCCCCGAAGCCGCGCAGTCCTGCGTGGCAGCCCTGGAGCAGCCCCACGCCAGCACCGCGCCCTGCCTGCGCAGTGCCGCGGACGCCAAAGCCACTCTCCAAGCCGAGGGATGGACCGACTGCCCTTCCTGGTCCGCACTGGCTGGTGGCGCCCGCCCAAACGCGCCGGACGAGAACGAAGCCGGGCTTGGCGACTGGCCTCATGGCTGGCAACGGCTCGCGTCGCAGACTCGCAACCTCTACTACCGCGACTGCGTGCTGCTGCCCTCCCTGACCCCCAGCCGCCAAGCCCTGCTGCGCTCCCAGGCCGGCCAGCAGTCGGCAGCTTGGCTCTCCACAGTCCCCTCCGAGCCAGGCTTAACACTCTCGCCGCCGGCCATGCCAATCGCTCTGCGGCGCCGACTCCGCCTGCCCCTGCCTCTCGCTCCAAACCGGTGCGGGGGCGCAGGGGCGCACGGCTGTGGCCGCCGAATCGACCCGTTCGGTGACCACGCTTTGGCGTGCCCGCGCACAGGCCTCTTGGCGCGCCGGGCCAAAATCGTGGAGCGCGCATGGGTCCGCGTTGCTCGCGAGGCCGTTGGCCCGGAGGGCCAGGTCGCCCCGCAGCAGCTGCTGGCGAGGACCACCGCGCCGGGAGTGCGGACGGGGGACCAGCGCCGGCTGGACCTGGTGGTCTACGGGGCCACGAGCTGGGGTGGTGCCCTTTGCTGCGACGCCACCATGGTATCGCCCCTCACGCGCGAGGGAGAACCGCACCCCCGCGCAGCCGCATATGACGGAGCCTCGCTGCGCCATGCCGAGCGCCGGAAGCAAGCCGCGTACCCCGAGCTGTGCGGGCCCGGGCCCCAGCGCTTGCTAGTCCTCGGCAATGAGGTTGGAGGGCGCTGGAACGACCAGGCCCGCGACTTCCTGCGGACCTTGACGCGGTTGCGGGGCTGCCGCGCCCCCGCTGCTGTGCGCCGCAGCGCGGTGAGCGGCTGGGCGCGTCGGTGGTGGGGGTTGTTGTCCGTCGCGGTGCAAGTGGCCGTGGCCGAGACTGCCTTGGGCCCGGCCGCGGCGGGATTGCAGTGCGTCGGCTTTGGCGCAGTCCCTGCTCTGGAGGCCGTCTTGGCGCTGGCTGACTGCGCTGGACCTGGCCTTCCGCCGCTGCGGCCTTAGGCCCACGAGACCTTCCTGGCGGCGGAAAAAGGCGTGGGAAAAAAAATGCAGAAAACTTTCAATTTACATCCACTGGAAACAGCCAAGCGCTAAAGCGATTTGACTCGTGATGGGATGCATTATGGGCACTGGCAGGGACTGAGCCTGCCAAACCACGTTCTTTCCATCATGTCTTGTGTTGACGTATGAAAGTGGTTTCGAACATCACCCGCTGGCTCTCGCGAATGATCCCCCCCCCAACAGCTGGGAAATGCTAGTTGTGACATTCATTGTCACCTGTTGATACCTTGGGCCCATCCATACTACTAACAGCTTAAGGCTTAAGAACCTCTCCCCCAAAAAAAACTCTTCTTCCTTCTAAGGGCATTTTACACTATAGGGAGTATCATCGTGTTTTTTTCGGGGGATTCTTGTGCCCTCAACCCTAAACCCTAAACCCTAAACCCTAAACCCTAAACCCTAAACCCTAAACCCTAAACCCTAATCCCTAATCCCTAATCCCTAAACCCTAAACCCTAAACCCTAAACCCTAAACCCTTACCTCCCTCATCCTGAGGTCTCTTCTTACCCTCCCGCCATCTTGCCAGTGGCCCGCCTCGCGCGCTTGGTGAAAGATCGATGTCCGGAGGCATTGGGTTCAGGGTTTAGGGTTTAGGGTTTAGGGTTTAGGGTTTAGGGTTTAGGGTTTAGGGTTTAGGGTTTAGGGTTTAGGGTTTAGGGTTTAGGGTTTAGGGTTTAGGGTTTAGGGTTTAGGGGTTAGGGTTTAGGGCCAGAGGCATTGGTGCTGTTGGATGGTGCGCACGCCTTGGGGCAAGTGCCCGTCGATATGGAGAAGCTGGCCGAGGCCGGTGTCGATGTGTATGTGACTTGGTCCTGCTTGGTCAGCTTTGGTGGCACACCCTCAAAAATGGCCAATGACGGCTTACTGTCTCCAGGAGCATGCCCATTCTTGTCATTTAACCGCTACGCGACCCGCCTCTGCCTAGGCCTGCCTTGCAGCGAGGCCACCCAAACCGCATATCGTGGGGTCTTAAGGTGCTGTTAGGCTACAAGGTTTTGGGCTTTGTACAATCATTCGTTGCTGGGGGATGCTGCTGAGGCGCCACAAATGTGAAAGTGGAAGACAAACAAGGAAGGGTGAAGGGCGGGTGAGGCCGCTGGGTGGGCAGGGCAGGGTCGGTTGGGCGGTGGGGGGGGGGGGGGGGGGGGGGGCGGGGGCATTCCACAGAGAAGAAAAAGTACCAAATAAAGGGATGTACAGCGGATTCTTTGGTAACAGCTGCTGAATGATGTTGGGTTGGAACCTTTGGTACTATGTGGCGGTGGATTGAACCGTCATTCGCCATCTCGATTGATGTGGACAAAATGGGTGGAAGGGTCTTGGCTTTGGCCAGTGCTTACATACCGCCGAAATGGGGCGATCGGATGAGCAATGCTCTGAAACTTCTTTTCGTCTGAACCATACACTTTTCTCAATCCTGCAAGAATCACAAGGGAAAGGCAGGCGACGGTAACTGCTCTTGGAACATGGAAGCGTAAGGGACGTGTGCTCATGGTTGCAGGTTGATAGTGGCTATCCCTGCTCAATTGCACTAAAAAGCTACGCAGATGGACATTTGTCTTCTGTCCTCAACCGGCTCCATCTGTAATCACCATGTTTGTGCCCAAAAGGATCGCGCTCCAAGTACAACACAAGCTTCACCCCCCGATCATCCTAGGTGACAGACGGGCACAAGTGGCTCATGGCTCCGAAGGGCAGCGGTGCACTGTGGGCATCCGGGTCCGTTCAAAATATTTTGGAGCCGGCCATTATCTCGTCAGACAATTCTCCAGCAACGAAGTTTCAGGATCGCTTTGACTACATTGGCACACGTGATTACACCTCTTGGTGTGCTATGGGCGCAGCATTGGACTTCCGAGCAATGCTAGGTGCCGGGGAATGGTGAAAACAGCACAGCTTTGGAACATGCTTCTATTATTTTACTCGCAACTGTGCTTCGCAAGCAGCTACGATTCCAATAGTTTCAAAAGATGTGTTTCGGTTCCATACTATGGTTCGATTTCAAATGGCCTCCTGTCATGAACACCACCAGGTGGCGAAGAGAAGCTGCAGCAGTACACTTCGAATCTGGCGCGATGGGCCGGAAACATGATGGCAGATGCCTTCGGCACTGAAACTGTAGTGCCAGGTTCGATGACTCCGTCGATGTTTGCCGTGCGCCTGCCCGTACCTCTCGCTTGGCCAAAGGACGTTCAACAAGAGTGTGCAGGTTTGATTGCTGGAGGTTTGATCCAGAACTTTTCCATGCAGGTCATCTCTTTCACGGTGAGCTCGGAGAATGAGAACGCGACTCATTGGATCCGGGTGTCCTCACAAATCTACTTGGAACAGGCTGATTTTCTTGCCTTGACGAATGCTGTGTTGACCCTGCGCCAGTCGTGCAAGTTGACAGCAGAGAGGTGGTGGTTTAGGGTTTAGGGTTTAGGGTTTAGGGTTTAGGGTTTAGGGTTTAGGGTTTAGGGTTTAGGGTTTAGGGTTTAGGGTTTAGGGTTTAGGGTTTAGGGTTTAGGGTTTAGGGTATAGGGTATAGGGTATAGGCTTTAAGTTTAGGGTTTAGGGTTTAGGTTTAGGGTTTAGGGTTTAGGGTCACTTGAATCAAAGAACGTGCGGGTGGATGACCTTCAGCCTTGCAGTTGGTTTTCGCTGCTGGACGTGCGCCAAGGCATTGATCCATAGAAATCCACAGCCAAATGTATTGGCTGTACCCTAAACCCTAAACCCTAAGTGTTTGGTCTGAATTCGGCTTCTGAGCGACAAGGTCTTTGATGTGAGATGCGTTTCAAAAAGAACGGCGAAACTTTGTTGTGAGCCTTTCTTGGCATGACTTTACCGATCTATCTGTTTGACCGCAAGGAAGCTCCATGTGTTACGCGCGGATATGCGGGTGTCACTTACGAATCTACCCACTTCTGAGAGAACTGGCTCAAGACTGCCGGTGAGTAGTTCCATAGCATCCTGCGCCTGGCAACTTCATCCTCATGTTCTCGACGTCATCTTCTAGCCAACTCCGCTTTCCTGCGCCCTTTGCACGTGGCATAGACCGGACAGCCACGCTCAGCTCAATCACTTGGAAAACAAGTGCTTTGAGCGGAGGGAAGCCGTTTGGTAGTCACTCGATTTTGGAGATCACTCTCTCAGATGGCAGCATTTGGAGTACCCAAAAGTATGTCGACGGACATTCTGTCATTGTCGAATTCACACCTGGCAGGGCCGATGGGGAGGTCCTCTTCATGGGCAGAACCTGAAACAGCAGGGGTGGATTTGGACCGCAGAGAGAGACATTCTGAATTTCATACGGAAGTCAGAGCACATGGACATGTATGACACCCGACACTTCAATTGCCACAAGTATGCCCAGGATGTTTGGAACTTCTGCGTGGTCTTCGTGGCGGCCGGAGATGATAAAAGCCAAGCTATTTGGTGGCTTGGTTGGTCCTAGCGTGGGTTACTACGATGACTATGACTACGACGATGATTTCTACTGAGAAGTCGAAGGCTGACGTGATGCTGCTGCTACTTCTGCTGCCGCCGCCATGATTTTGATATTGTAGTTGTTTTTTCAGCCATATCAGATCTCATCAGCAGCCTTCAAAGCCCCTAGAATGTAGCAGCATTGTCACTTGCGTGAGGATTGGAAATGTTTCATGTTCGCAACTCCATCTTGCGGCAAAAATCGCTGCCTTTTGAATTGTCTCATGTTTCTATCAGCAGGGAAGTTTCATGTAGTTCGTGCTGTATCGCCTAAGAAGGTATGCAGTATGCATACTCGGCCTGAGCATTGCTTTTGTGGCAGACTTCCTAGCGCGTCGTGTCTCGCAAGCTTCCTTTCCGGATGAACTGCGAATAGTTATGGCAAATGCTGCACCCAGAAATGACATTAGAACCGATGAATGCGTGATGGATGCGCGCTGGTGGTGCACATGTGTATATGGTATATGGCGCCATGGATGTTCACCCATACCCAAAGCCCAGAAATCACCTGATTTCCATTCTGGTGGATAAGTTTGTGATGGAATGCGCTTAAAACTATAGTGAATGCAAGCGTCCACCATCACCCCCCCCCCCCCCCCCCATAATGCAACCAGTAGGAGCAATCCATAATTTCCAGGCTGAACTCAGGCACCCCGTGTGTTGGGATGGAAAGCCACAGCAAGTTTCCTTGAGGTGCTCACTTAAAACCAACCCTGCCAGGGCAACCGCTCATATAGTCGCCCCCCACTGGGGTGATGTAGGGTTTAGGGTTTAGGGTTTAGGGTTTAGGGTTTAGGGTTTAGGGTTTAGGGTTTAGGGCTGAAATCCAACTCTGTAGAGTCCAGGCCTGGAACTCCCCTCTCAGGCGCTTCTTCTAAAAACCCTATACCCTGAACCTGAAATCCTTTCGCTGCAGACTTTGGGCACGGGGCTGCCCTGATGTTGTTTCAAGCGCTTGGAGCTGTGGGTGTAGGAAGGCCATAAATCGCTAAACTCTAAACCACAAGCTAGAATCACGTATATACCCTCCCAAAACCCCAAACTGCCGATGGCCCAAAAGCCGAGTCGTAAGGAGTTGTAAATGCCACCCTAAAAACTCAACCCAAAAACCTCCAACAACAAGCCCCAAGCCCCAACCCCCAAACTTTAAACCACATACCCTAAACGGGCTTCCACACGGGCACATCGCTCGCAGAAAGCGCAGAAGAACGTTTAGGTTTTGCTGTTTAGGCCTTAAGACTTTAAGGATTTAAGGTTTGGGTGTTTCTTGGTTTGGTTTAGGGCTTTCAGGGTTTAGGGTCAAGGGGTTTAGGGCTCACATGGTTTAAAGGCGGGTGTGTGACTTGTTCCCGGTCTTGTCCACAGCGCTCTGCCATGGTCAGAGTCTGGCGGGCTTCCGGAGAAGAGTTGTCAGTAACGACGGATGAGCTACGAGAGTACATGGCCGGGGAAAGTTGGCCTGATGACCCGAACGTGGGGACCTTGAAGCATTACCTGCGTGCGAAGCATGGGTTCCCAGTTTGTCTTCAAGAAGTCCTGCAGGCGAACAGTTGCTTGCAGGCCGGCGCCAAAGTGGAGGAGGCCATGGAACTGCAGCTGGTTCTAAAGACAGTTGACGGCGATGCACAACGGTTCGCGGCCGGACAGGAGTTCGAATATTACGCAATCGGGGCTGGCCGCCTGGATGTTGCCCGGTTCTTGCTAGAAGCTGGCCTTCCCGCATTGTTCCTGCCAAAGGCCTCCAGAGAAGGCCAAGCTGGGATCGTGGATTTGCTGCTGAAATCTCGTGCCGATGTGGATGCCCAGTTTCCGTGGGCTAGCGCCCTTCACGAAGCACTCAAATCTTGCCATGGCGAGGTAGCGGAAGTGCTGCTAAACGCTGGTGCCAACAAGGATGCTCAGGACTCCGAAGGGAGAACTGCCCTTCACTTGGCATCCGAGAATGGCCTCACTGGGATGGTTGCCTGCCTCCTGAAAGCTGGTGCTGACAAGGATGTGCTGGATGACTTTGGCCTGACACCCCTGCACTACGCAGCCCGCAATGGTGAACCATGCGACGTTGAGATTGCGGGCATGTTGCTGCAAGCAGGTGCCAGTAAGGATGTGCAGGACCTGCGCGGCAACACGGCCCTCCACCGGGCGTCCCGGCGTGGCCACACGGAGCTTGTGGATTTACTGCTGAAGGCAGGCGTCAACAGTGATGTCAGGAACCGGTTCGGCTTTACAGCCCTCGACCTGGCCTCCGACTTTGACCACGCTGGGGCTGTGGACCTGCTGGAAAGACGAGAGTCCAGGAAGCGTCGGAAGCTGTGAGCGTCGAAGCCCTTCCCAAAGCATGTCGGCAAGGTCGCTCAGAGGGTTTTGCGTGCGCTCGGTCAGAAAAGTGCTTGGGGATTCGGTGCCTGGGCTGGTCGAGAGAGGATATAGAGTTTGGGGACTTCGGATTCACAATTCGGGGATTAGATTTGCTTGAGATTTTCAGGTTTAAGGTGTTTCAGGTTCACATCGTGCACTTTGGTCCGTCGCTATTTCCTACAGTAGATCAACTTTGCACAGCTTCGCGCCGTACAGCACCAAAACAAAGTAGTCGCAGATGACGGGGATGTTTGTGCTCCCCCCCTTCCACCATCGAACATGCACTCCTTTCAACTGCATGAGCAAGGAACAACAGACTACCGTATTTGGGAATGTTGCCGTCTACACACGCGGTGACAAAGCAGGAGCAGGGTACGCCAGAGTATGCCCCAACCTCGCAACCCTAAACCCTAAACCCTAAACCCTAAACCCTAAACCCTAAACCCTAAACCCTAAACCCTAAACCCTAAACCCTAAACCCTAAACCCTAAACCCTAAACCCTAAACCCTAAACCCTAAACATCCCATCCCTAGCCTCCGGCTGGATCTAGGCGAGTGCTATGAATAAGCTGGGACTGTACAAGGGCTGCAGTAGGTTTAGATGGTTCTATTGGGTCTAGGGATTAGGGTTCAGGGTTTATGGTTCAAGGTTTAGGGATTATGGTTCAGGGTTTAGGGCTTAGGGTTCAGGGTTTAGGGCTTAAGTTTAGGGTGTTTTCAGAAAGGTTAGAGTTGATCGTGGGCCTTGCTACGGGCACCCTTTTTGCTTTTGGCCTTATGCGCGCGCGAGGCCTTGCAAAGCCCAGGTTTCTGAGCTGATGGCGTTACTAAGCCTGACAGCTGTCGCCATGGCGCGGAAGACGGAGCTGCGCACAGCACGACGCTCTTCACATCGTTTTCGGATTTTGTGCTGGGTTGGCTTGCTCTGCTACATGCGACACTCTCACTGGCGCTTGTACATATTTGCAGCGTTTGCTTTGGCCGGCAACACCGACCGTCATGCGACAGGCCACGGCGGCGACAGCAATGCAACAGAGCTCATTGTCAAGACGTGGTACAAACACACCGGGGATACGATCACCAGCCAGGAGAAAGAGACATCCCAGAGTGGGCTAGTACTTCTTCTTGTTCCTTAAACCCTAAACCCTAGACCCTAAACCCTAAGCCCTAAACCCTAAACCCTTACAGCAAGCACACGTAACGTGTTAACTCGCGGGTTCATGGATCGCTCAGCTGAGTTCCAACCATACAACGGAGAAAGGTTTTTCTGTATTACGTCGGCGGCATGCTGCCACCGAAAACTGGCAACAGCAGGGTTACCGCATGCCGACATGTACTGATACGGGACATCGTTTTCTGCAATATTTCTGCCAAAATGCGGAGAGAAGTCGTGTAAACGTCTACCTTGATTGTGTTGTGATGGTAGTATACGTCGCTAGTATATGACTACGACCGGCATCTAGAGCTGCTTTACGCTTATGGGACTCAACTATGTACTCCCTAAACCCTTAACCCTAAACCCTAAAGGACATCAACGAGTTGTGCCGTGGCTTCGGTGTGGCCGTGGCGTGGGTGCGGCGGCCCCCACCTCGTAGAGTACTTGCTCAGGTGGGAGCACCTGGAGCTGTCATCCTTTGCTTAACATAGTTCCCTGGGCATGTCTCTAGTTGTGCAGTGACGTCACCTGGTACTTGTAAGCTAGAGTATGTTAGGATGATTGTCTATAGTATGTCCACGCCGCATCGTCGTCTGTTGCAGTTCGTGGTAGTCTAGATTCGTCTTTTCTGGCATGTCGTTCTAAGCCGACGGTTTCCGGATTGCGCAATCCGCTCACGTTTCACTCTAGTCGGCTAGGACGCTACGAGAAAGAGAACACTTCATAGGCGATCTCGATAAGCAGTGGTTGCGCTTCAGCACTGTGTAGGATGGCAGTTGAAGCGCAAAACACAGGTCAAAGAACAGCTCAAAGGCGCCTGCTGCGCTGCTCTTGGCAATGATGCCTGTCTGCATTGGGGTTTCAACGATGTTCAAGGGTGGAAAAACAAAGGAGAAGCGATGGACGACGAAGACAAGGGCAGCAGCAACACGGACTAGAAATAGGATGACGAGAAATAATAGCTGCGCCCACGCCAAGAAGAAACGAAGACAAGGACAGCAAACCCAACAAGAGAAAACGTCGCAACAGCTAGAGACCAGAAGACAGGAAAGAACACAAGCTCGCAACACAAGCAGAGTAAAGGAAAGCAAAACAGCACAAGGACACCAGAAACGAAGCCAACGACTTGGGCAATCAGCACAGCACAAGACAGGGAAACCTCTGCGGACATAGCCCTTTTGCAGGAAGGATCCCTTTTCTATACCCTAAACCATAAACGCTAGACCCTAGACCCTGAACCTAAACCCTAAACCTATCCCCAATTAGGAAGTTCAAGGAGTGTCAGTTGGGATGTTCCCCTTATACTGCCAGTCCTTAATACGGATTATGGTACCCCCTATTCAAGTATATTCAAGTCCCAATTAAGGACGCTTCGTAAGGTATCAGATTGAACAAGCATGTTTGGTTCGTCTACGTCGGGCAATGCTTTCAGTAGCAGCGTGGACAGGCTCGTTCAGGCATTACCCCAGGTGCTCAGATCCGAAGCTGAGGCTCGGTGTGGGGTTTGGGGTTTAGGGTTTCGGGACCCTCCGCTAGGCTGCTGCAAAAGGGTTTCGGGACACCCCCCTTGACAGTTTCTGGGAGCCCCCTGACAAGTTCTTGGAACTCAATCTTCCGGCGTGCCTGTTTCCACCAAACGTTGCGCCTATGCCTACGAACCGTTGTGCCTGCATATTAATGGAAAAGTCAACAGGCGTGCCTATGCCCACGAACCCTTGAAATTGCCTTTAGTTGAAGGTTTGTGTGTGTAGGTAGGAGTGGTCTAGGGTTTAGGGTTTAGGGTCGAATGCCTAGGACATCGTGATGGAGTCCGTCGGATCCGTGAAGCATGACACGTACTCTGCAGGGAAAAGCGACTGGGACCTTCAAGTGTCCAGGGCCCGGAAGTCCACCAGGAAGCAGCCAGAATACTGGATTTGGACATTTGTTTTTTTTCTTTCGGTGCGACTGACATCCCAGATCTGCTCTCAAGAGCCAACCTCAGAAGCTGAGGTTTGGGGTTTAGGGTTTCGGCTTTCGGGTTTAGGGTTTAGGGTTTAGGGTTGAGGGTTCAGGGTTTACGGTTTACGGTGCCAGCTTCAACATGACCTTGCACCCTGGCCGAGGTACCCCTTCACCAAGCGTGATGGGACCAAGGTCCTTGCTGAAATTCGCAAGTTGCCCTTTGTGAAGAAGGCCCGGATGGGACGTATAGCCATCAAGTGCTGGTTCGCTGGGATCGAGAATCCGCAGAACTTGCCGGGTTTGCGCGTGGACTTGGTGCTTCGGCGGGATGACCCCGAAAGGTTTCCAAACTTGCGTGGGGGGGCCTGACTTTCTGAAGAACTCGGGCCCCATCAACCGCTTCTACAAGGAGACCCGCGCAGCGAGGAACGTCGTCGTTGCCATCAAGTCGCGGCCGTTCGGAATCAGAGTCAAAGGGCTGTTACTTGAAGCCATGGTCTGGCGACTGGCAGCGTTTTATTCCTTCCCGCCTGCTGGCAGAGGCAGCGCAGGACCGGAGGAGCTGAACCGCGAGTCCTTCGCACTTTTTCTCTTGGCAATGTGGGAGTTACAGCAGTGGAGGACGTCACCTGCTTTTGGAGCTGAACTGGTGCGTGACTTGAACGCTTCGAACCCGCAAATGGGAAAGCAGCGATGGAAGAAGTACGTGTCTCAACTAGACGCAGCACGTGAGGAAATTCGCCAACTGGCATGGCCTGTGATGCTTGATCCGTACCTAGCGCAGCAGACCAAATGGCGGAGGCGCTTGGAGAAGAAGTTGCCGGGGGTTCGCACCAGGAGTGCAGCAAAGAGCTTGGCCACCCTTGAGGCAGTGCCTCAACAGCAGCGTAGGACAAGTTTCTCATCCGAAGATCCTCAGAAGTGACGTTCCAAGTAGCTCGCAGAAATCTGCAAGAACCCGCGTCGTACCCTGATTCCCCTTTTGGTTTGGTACACAAATCTACCTGAAAAGAGCCATTAAAACCAACAAGGGTGCCCTTCTTCACGTGTCCTGAAAAGCCTGTGAGACAACTACTGTTTGCTTAAGAACCCCGAAAAATGAAAAACAATATTCCCTATATTAACATTAATAGGGAAGAATATTTTTTCTGGGTTTTAAAGCAATTAGTAGACAAGCCTTTGCCGGCCTGCAGGTCCTGGACGTACCACTGCAAGCACGTTTCCAGCTTGGCGCGTTCCTTGAAGCAGCCGACAAAAAGTGCAAGAACTTTGCAGATGATGCGTTTTTGGGGTTGAGGGTCTGGAGTGGGGATTCGTTGCTGGCAGTCGCCATGTCCCAGCTGCAAACGGGGATGAGGAAGCTTCATGTTCCTTGCCGAGCAACTTGCAGCTCCTTGACATAGATCTCAGCCCTAAACCCTAAACCCTAAACCCTAAACCCTAAACCCTAAACCCTAAACCCTAAACCCTCTTTTTGCCAGTTGCGCTGCCAATGCTCTAGAACCTTCGAGAACCATGGCTGCCCTTTGGTTGACTGCCAGATGGCTGCGCTAAACCCCAAACCCTAAACCCTGAAGCTGAAGCCCTGAACCTGAGTGACAACCAATCAGGGGACTCGGCGTGAGCTCGTGTTGCTTCCATCTTCACAAGCTTTGTCATCCATGGCAACCTCCTGCTGGCAGCCCGAACATGTGGCAGGATAAGCTGCATGGCACAAGGTGGATCGGATTTTACTTCAGATGTTGCTGTCTCTGCCGTGCAGAAGCAACCAACGGATTCCGACGCGCACGAATTTCATCGCAAGTGCGAAGCGACAGCTTTCGTGGTGCACACTGCTTGGGCATTGGTAGTTAAGGGTCGTCCGAGTGTAGTGATAGTTTTGAGGGCACCCTGGTTTGGAGGTAGGAGGCAGGTGCGGGCAACGGAACCTGCGACGGCACATGGCGCCCGAGAGTGGCCCTCTGGCAGAATGGCAGGTTGCCTCAGTGAAACCCACAAAATGCCATCGGCCTACGGCCATGAGTCATGGATCATGCGAGAATGCGATTTTGATTGAACAGCAAGGGATGCACATGGAACAATCACATGACATTCCAGTGCGCCATGACTTTTGCATGTTTAGGCTGTGGCCATCCATCCTTTTTCTGCACTTCGCCACCATTTGACAAATGCAGGTTGCATCGCAGAAAGTCGCAGAAACTGGTGTATGGCTCGAAGATGGTTTCTGATCTGACTGCTGTGTCACGCCAAGTCTAGGAGCCACTGGAACTGGATGAAAGAAAGAGACATTTGAGAAATTCAACCTGAGAAAACGTTTCAAAGTGGGAGTTAATGAAGCGAGCGGTCGACATTCGCTACAGCCGCTACGACATGGCAAAAAGTTAATAGTTATTCTTGAGTATGTTCAATGATGTCATTTAGTCTCGTCTGGGGTAATTCTTACTGACTAATTATGGACTATCGCTTGGGGGGTTGCAATCTATGACGAAGCACAGGAGCAGTTGGGTTAGGCTGTAGAGTTCGCAGATACCTCCCCCCCCCCCCCGAATTACGCAGGCTCAGAACTCATCGACCGGTTTAGGGTGTAGGGTTTAGGTTTTTTAGGGTTTAGGGTTTAGGGTAGAGACGGTCCCGAGCCAGTGACCCTCACAAACCCAAGCTGTGAGATGCAAACTTGCGAGAGCAAGCACCCGTAAGTAGGATGTTGTCAGAGATCTCGCAGTGATTCTGATGATTGTGGCAAAAGTCGGGCCAAACAGACGACCAGCAACACGCCGCATCCACAAGGCAGCATACCTTAAGCTTTGGCATTGTTATTGAAGACAATGCCACTACACCCCAAACCCCAAACCTCAAAACCCTAAACCCTAAACTCTAGGCTTGTCAGGCAGCTTGACTTAGGCGGGAATGCAGATGGCGGGAGGGAGGCCTTCCACGACTGTCGGACGTCATAGGTTGCCCGGGCTTCATGTGGTTGTGCTGACCATATGCTGCAGAAACTCCCTGGCAGCCATCCAGGGAGTAGGTGCTGGCCTCCATCATTCCTGCGCTTGGGGTGATGGTGTTGCAGTGTGTTGGGGCTTGGGCTACGATGCAGCTTTGGGGCGGAGGATTGCAGCGGGGACTGGGCCAGGGCAGGTTGAGAGGCTTTCGGCCATTGATTTTGGCACCGGGCGCAGGAAGGTCGTTGGTGCTTCATCCTTCCACATGCATGGAGACTCAACTGAGAGAGGGTCTTACCCTGGCAGCTGGCCCTGGACTTTGGGAAATATGTGTCCCGCTGTTTACCTTGGCTCTGAGCGCACCATCCTGGAGGTTTAGGGTTTAGGGTTTGGGGTTTAGGGTTTAGGGTGTAGGGTGTAGGGTGTAGGGTTTAGGGTTTAGGGTTTAGGGGACCATCCTCGATTTTGCCGATGCATTCTCAGACGACTTATCATTTCTCTGCCATCGTTTTCGATGGTACCGTCACGTGCTGGATCACAACAAACAGCAACATGAACTGCGCATTGGGCAGTGGTGATACATCGTATCTGTCATATGCAAGCCATGGTCAAATTGTGGTGGACCTCGGTGTTGGCAAAGTGGCGAAACAACTTGCGCTTGGGCATTTGTTCGCTTGCGCCCTGCTCACCGACGGTAATGTGAAGTGTTGGGGCAGATCGAGGCTGTGCTCCCACGTGGATCTCGGGGTGGGCCGCACAGCAACCCAGCTCTCAGCTGGGACTTGGTTTGTCTGCGCATTGTTGGATGATGCGACCGTTAAGTGTTGGGGCTCCAAGAACTACGGGCAGTTGGGGTTGGGGCACCTATCCACTATGGGTACTCAGTCTTCGGATATGGGAGACCGGCTACCAACTGTAGATTTGGGGGCCGGGCGTACAGCTCGTCAAATCTCTTGTGGCCAACAACATAGCTGTGCGTTGCTTGGGGATTTAACGGTATGGGGCAATTGGGGCTGGGGCATGCAAACGATGTGGGCGGCCCCAGTACCAGCATGGGCAATCGGCTTCCTGCAGTGGACTTGGGTGCCGGTCGGACTGCGCTGCAGAGTATACTATAGTTTACTATAGTAAACTATAGTAAACTAAAGTATATTAAGGTTCCTTAGAGGCTTCTTGGCGCTCTCCAACTTGGGGGCCCTCAGGAATTGACCTGAGGAGGAAGCTCTTGCAATCGAGGTTTGGTTTGCTAAAGTATACTATAGTATGCTCTAGTATACTCTAATACTATAGCATACTACTTATAGAATACGGTGTGCTGTGAACAAAAAAGACTTTAGGTTCCCTATGATCTCATCAGTCCGAGACCCGTGTGCCCAGGTGCCGAACAAGTTGGCTCTCCCCCGAAAGGGGGTCAAGCCTAAGCTTTCCTCAGGTTCAGGGGCGAGTGCAAGGGTTCATGCAGACATCATGTAGAGGCCTGGTTAGTGGGTTCATAGACAGTTTCATATGGAGCTCATGTGGTTTAGTATCGTATACTATCGTTCTTTATCGGCTACTTTACGATTACTCTAGGGTCCTGGTTGTGAGGCCCAGGCGCTCCACGAACGTGTGCTCTCGGGCGTCGAGCGGCTCGGTCTGTCGGAGCACCTTCAGGGTATTTCGATGTTCGGGTAGATCTCCAGGGGCTCCTAAAGAGGATATCCAGGGGTCCCCTAAAGAGGACAGACGCCCTACGAACCCCTGGGTTACCGAGCAATCCACTTCTACAGGAGCTCCTCTTCTAGGGTTCTTAGGGGGTCTCTCCTATTTGGGGACTTCTCGGGATCTTATGTTTAATATGTGACCGCATTTAGGTCTTACCAGTAGCTATACTCACACTTCCGTAACTCAGTGTAGTGGCATTCCAGTGATGCTCATTGGTTTCTGCCATCTGGAACTTTCTCTAGGTTCTGTTGAGGTTCACGGGGGCTTGCAGGCCCGTAGCCAGCTCAACCGCGGCGTTTGTTTTCAGATTGTGCAAAATCTTGATTCCAAGTTTGTCAGTGCGCGATATGCAACAGAGATGGTGAGTGCCTTCCGCCGTCCGCATTGAAGCATGCTAGCGGATGCACATATTGTGGGGCGGCCCAGTTTTACTGTAGTATCCGTCCATAGTAATCACAATGGAATCACAGTATGCTGCAGCATATTATAGAGGAAAGTATACCATGGTTATATTATGAGAAAGTTGTGACTGGAAAATCCAGCCTGCTGGGACAGCCTACATGTCCTGTTGAAGCCGTCTGCGCCGTATAGAATAGCTGACTATCGTGTACAGAAGTGCGGTGTACTTCAGCGTAGTATAATACACTACAGTCTGCTTGCGCAGCCATGTTGCCTTGTTTTATCCATCTCAGACGCTGCACGAAGATCATCCAGATTTACTGCGCCTTGGCAAGCAGCCCTGGCTTCAGCCTGGAGCCTTTAGCATTACTTCGGACGGGGCATGACCGTCTCTTAGTTGTTCTGGCTTACTGCTGTTGAAATGGGGTGCTGCTTTCAGCTTGACAGCGCACCAGAATAAAAGAAAAACAATGCACAAGATTGCACAAGCGAAGGATATGACACGTAGAGCCCTAGACGTTTGTTGGCCTCAAGAAGTATGAGAGAAGCACAGTTGAAGTTTCCTTTGGGAGGCTCTTTCACGGGATGTTACACACCGGATTCCCCTGAAAGAGCCAGAGATGCCCGCAGCATCCCGGAGCCATATGGGGTTTAGGGTTTAGGGTTTAGGGTTTAGGGTTTAGGGTTTAGGGTTTAGGGTTTAGGGTTTAGGGTTTAGGGTTTAGGGGGCTCAAGTTTTGGCGTTGTCGCGGTTGTGGCGCGCACAACCCGGATGTCTCGACCCATCTTGCTCAGCTTGGTTGCCTTGATCGCCACTGCAGCCGGAGCAACCGGTGGATGCCAGCAATGCGACCGTTACAGAGAAGAAGATTGCTCCCTAGATGGCGACTGCTTCTCCGCAGGCAGTGCTCGTTACTGTCTGGAGAGCGGTGGTGAATACTGTATCCCAGGTTGCTTTGACTGTCTGGCCCAGGCTGAAGAATGCTTCCACAAGAACTGGGCTTTGCCATGCTATTCACCAGGTTCAGAGGCAGCATGCAAGCAGCTCAACTCGGAGTGGTGCGTTGCTTCAGCCAGTCCTTCCGCCAGTGCTCCAAGCACTGCAAGCAGTGCCCCAAGCACTGGGGATTCTACAGCAGAGACTGGTGTTATCCTGCAGTGGATTCTGGTGACCTTGGCAGTGGCGGCAATTACGACGGCGTGCTGCATCATAGGTTGTCTGAAGCGAGAATCATCGTGGACTTTCGTTGTACCCATCGATGGCCCCACGGAGCGAACCCTGCAGCGACTGGAATCAAGACTGAACAGTGGGAAACAAGGTGCTTGTTCGGCTTGTTATTCTCAGACAGCTCAGCAGCAAAGAGACCGCTTGTTGGCAAAAGCTGCCATGCAGGCTGCTGGGGGACCTGAGTTCTGGAGCCTCACAGTGGCGCACGTCTCGCATTTTTTGGCGGACCATGAGGACGCGCTGGTGAAGTATTGCGATAAACACGCCTTCACCATGGACCAGGGACGACCAAAGCACCTGTGCTTCGACGAGGACTGCTCAATGGAACATGGAGATATGCCCCATAGCTTCTGTGACGGCCAAGCAGCTAGTCCGTTGAATACCAATATGCACGTGGTGGTGAGTCGGCTCATCAAGCCTTTGACAAAAGACGGGGCCGCGAAGAAAGGCCGCGATGCCAAGGGAACGCTTGGAATGTGGGCGTTCCTCACGGAGGGACGCGTTCAACGTGCTCGAACCTTTGTGTCACACTGCTGGAACGAGAAGTTTCAGGATTTCGTGGACACTCTACAAAGTCTCGGGCCCAAAGAAGATGTGTGGATTTGCAGCTTCGCATTGCCGCAGAACATCAACATCGGCGAGGTGTTGGGAAACAAACCCAGCAAATCTCCATTTGCTCGTGCTCTGGCACAAGCGGAACAAGTCCTGTTGGCTGTGGACGCAAAGATCGAGCCTCCAACACGATCCTGGTGCTGTTTCGAGCTCTACTTGGCGTGCATGCAGCAGAAGACAATTCGAATTGAAGTGCCAACACAAGAGACTCAAGCTGACATCAGGAAGTTGAAGAAGAAGGTCAAAGATGCCATGGAGGTTGTGGATATTAGTCAGTGTTCAGCCAGCAACCAGGGCGACCATGAAAAGATCATGGCAGAAATCGGCTTCGCAGTTGGTGATGTTAACAGCAAGCTGGCGGAGAAAGCTGCCGTGGAGTATTTGAGCGCCTGCCGGTTGTTAGATGCACGTGTTTCATCCTCAGGCTCTTCGCGACCTGAGTCAGAGTCGCCTGTCTAGCACATAACAGGCTGCAGTTTCAAGATAGCATGATCAATTGGTAGGTGACAGAATTTGCTGAAAACAATTGTAAAAAAGAGCATGCTTGGGTACTAGATGAAACTTGCTGCCATCAGTAGAGGATTAAACTACGCACTCTTCCTTACTTGCCCCTAGTGAGTACCGTGCTGATAACGGGATTTGGCCAGAGATCTTGGCACAGCTTTGCTTGAAAATCCATGAGCTTTGTGACGCAAATGCAACCCGTGTATCGGACATTGAGCCATTGCCACAGATGTTTTTTCTGTGAAAACATCGCTGCTCCAAACGCTTTCGGGAGACTTGTTCTCTAGTTTAGGGAAGCATCGGGGCCTGGCCTTTCGAAATCGTTGATCCCAGCGAGAAGCTGCATTATGGTGGCAGTTGCTCATTTCGACCGATGGCAATGCAGAAGAGCTAAAGCTGCAAGAACAATTTAGCACTTCTCCTCAAAGATCGGGATGACAAGACTCGCTTCGACACGCAGAAGGCCGGAGTTTTGCCAATTACTGCAGTTGTTCCCACAAGTCGAATGTAGATGCAGAGGTGTGTTGGGCCACCGGGCAAACAGTATTCCTCTTTACACGCTCTGAGCGGGGGAAGTGGCTTCGGTGTCCTGCAAGGCAGTGTGAGGTTATACAAAACCCCCCGCCGCCCCCCCCCCCCCCGCCCCCCCCCCCCCCCCCCCCTCCCCCCCCCCCCCCCGCCCCCCCCCCCGCCCCCCCCCCCCCCCCCCCCCCCCGCCCCCCCCCCCCCCCCCCCCCCCCCCCCCCCCCCCCCCCGCCCCCGCCCCCCCCCGCCCCCCCCCCCCGCCCGCCCCCCCCCCCGCCCCCGCCCCCCCCCCCTCCCCCCCCGCCCCCCCCCCCCCTCCTCCGCCCCCCCCCCGCCCCCTCCCCCCCCCCTGCCCCCCCCCCCCCCCCCCCGCACACACCCTAAACCCTAACAATGGGACACGATCAGAGTCTGAACAGCCAGAACAAACAAGCTGAAATTGCTTTTCCCCTTAGTTTTTGCAAGCCCTGTCTCCGAGCCGGTGCTCCCAGCTTGGGGGAAGATCTTTTGTTCCTGCAGAGTGGGCTGCCTTGCCAAGTGCCCAAACCCAACCCAAGCCGCCCGGCTGGCACTCTGCTCGCTCGGCTTTTGAGGGGCTTGGAGCTTTGAGCTCTGCACCCCAGGTCGTCCAGGCATTTGCATGAAATCCAATCTGGCCAGATAACCTGGCCAGACTATGAATCTGACAGCAAGTTGTTGCATCCATTTTCACATAGTGTTTAGGGTTTAGGGTTTACAGTCAGGCTCAGTCCCAAACCCAAGCGTCCAAAACACTTGCTGCTGAGCACTAGGCAACTCCCTAAACCCTACATCCTAACCCTCAGCCCTAAACCCTAAACCCGGCCTGCAGCACTCTCTAAAAACCCTCCAGCTGGTTGACAGTCTTTTCTTGGCCATCAAACAGTCTAAGGCATGGCTTCCTAGCGAGCTACCCATTACACGGCTGTCTTAAAAAAGGAGTGGTAACCCGTGCTACCCACCCGAAACCTTAAACCCTAAACCTTAGTAACCCTAAGCCCTAAACCTTAAACCCGAAACCTTAACCCTAAGCCCCTAAACCCATCTTGGAATAGCCCAACGGTCCGTTGAAGGGTGTGGGGTCCGACCATCCGACATGCAGGTATCCTTCGCCTCCTGAGATTAGGATCCTGAAAATTACGGTTTAAGGCTTCGGGCTTGGGATGTTTTCCCTTATACCAACAGTCCTAAACAGGAATTATCGAAACCCCCTATTATAATCCAAATAAGGACTGTTGGTATAGGAGGGAACATCCCAATTTAGGGTTTAGGGTTTTTTATGTTTCACTTTGCAAGGGACAGAAGCGGGCCCAGAACCAGAAAATTGATGTGGTTCTATTTGGAAGCATACGTTCCCCACAACGTCGATTGAAGGAGATGTCAGCATAAATCTCGAAATCTCAGCAGAAGATCTCGAAGGTTGCTAGAATATCAGACGTCTTTTATTTCTGTGATGATTCGGCAGCTGCCTTGCAAATGGCAAGCTTGACGGAAGCCATGTTGCAGATCAGTGAAGATCTTACGAAGGGATTGGATTTCGAAATCTGAACCAAAAAAGGATCAGATTTATGGAAGTGGACCGATAGAGTTGATTTTTTAAGAGGATTGTATCTTGTATTTCGGAAGCAACGCCGGGCGTGTGTGTAGATTTGTGGGTGTAGTCCGACGTGCGAGGTTCATGCTAGATTCTATGTTTATGTAGGGCCGTTGATTATTGAGTGAGCCATGAGTTGGGCCCATAGCGATTTTCTGGAATCTTGTTTTGCTTGTGATCGTGGCACGAGTCTCGAAATTCTTTTCTAATTCGGGGTGGTGGTGGGTTTTGAATATGTGGAAGAGAATTTGGGAATTCGTATTGGTGCGATATGGTCTTCCGAGATCTTGGATATTGAAATAATGAGGAATCTTTCTCTTTCTTTTGTTTTGGTTAGTGCCGAGCATAAATCTCTGTTCGTCAAATCTTTGTTCGCCATTGGGAGGTAAAATTTCTCATTATATGAATCTATATGCAAAATCAATATTATTAAATAAAAATAAATTTAAAATATGAACAAAAATAATATTTTTCTTAAACCAGAAAGCCTCAATTTTTAAACGGGCCAACACAGTGATCTTTTTTCGGCGAATATAAATCTTATGTATCGATTCGCCTACAGTTTCTTCTTTTGTGATTTCACCATCCCGCCCCCCCTTCATATTCTTCTAAAACTTCCTACTTTCTTTGTTTCTTCTCTATGAATATATCGAAATAAATAAAGAATCTTTGACAAAAAAAGGGAATCGCTATTCGGATTTATATATATATAATATATGGTCATCACAAAAACATAAATAAAAAAAAAATAAAAAATAACAAAACAACCAAAAAACTACCAACTAAGATTGCAATTTTTTTTTTTTTTTTTTTTTTTTTTTTTTTTTTTGTTTTGTTTTTTTTTTTTTTTTTTTTTTTTTTTTTTTTTTTTTTTTTTTTTTTTTTTTTTTTTTTTTTTTTTTTTTTTTTTTTTTTTTTTTTTTTTTTTTTTTTTTTTTTTTTTTTTTTTTTTTTTTTTTTTTTTTTTGTTTTTTTTTTGTTTTTTTTTTTTTTCGTTTTTTTTTTTGGTTTTTTT